ATCATTATTGTTTTTGTGAGACCATCTTCGGAATAATTTTCGTTCCACGAACTGCAACCCGCTTGCTTAAACTTCGATAAATTTCTTGAGACAAATATATAATTTTAATATATTCTACAGTTGCGTCATTGTACCGCTTCGAGCACAAATTATCTTCTAAGAACTTTGTTGATAATGACAGGTAGTTAGTTATTCAATGTGCCTCTGTAGCCGAGTGATTCGCACGCCGGTTTCAAGATGTCGCCATCTCTGATGTCCCGGATTCGATCAATATAGGAACTTTCTATATTAGTCTGGGTCTGGGTGTTCTGGTACCTTCGTTGTCTCAGACACTCCATAATACGGGGACTTTAGCTACTCATCTTGAAATCTGAGCAATGTATTTGATGTTTTTTAATATTTATTTGTTATTATTTATTTATCTTTAAATATATTTTTCTAGTATTATATGTATAACATATCGTTAAAGGTAACTATCAATGCTAAGCCCTACACGTGCCTACAATTATTAATATTCACATATTTGATTTATATATCTTGTTTTATTGAGTTTATATAGCTTTATATTTCTTCATTAGCTGTAAGTTTTCCAAAAATTGTAAAATAAAATAAAATAGTATTCATCTTAAAATATCTCTAAATAAAAAAAAAATAATAGCCTATTATTTAATGAAAAATTAAGACTTGTAAATACTTTCTGTTTAAGTTTTTTAATAAGTTTTATTTTAAAATACTTTTATTAAATTATTTGTTGCTATTAAATAATTATTTTTATGTTGTGTTTGCAAGCGAAATTACTAGGAATCGTCTTCGAATGTGACATCGATCCAATCGCTGTTACTTATTATGTTCAAATACTGAGAATCAACTGCGTTATAAGAATTGCTGGACCATCAATTATTCAACACGAGAATATTCTTACAAACTTGCCCGCCAAAGTATTCCGTAAGATGGCCACCGGAAATGCCACCATGATTTTTGGAGTGATGCAATTTAACGACAGTAATGAAAGGAAGGGGAAGTTTTTTTTTACAAACTAGTCTATATTCAATCTTTGTATTGACACGGACTAATTGTTGGTAAGGAATTCGCGTGAATCAACATCGGATTATTTGTATACATTCACGTGTTCATTATCAACAATACAGTGTGAATAAACAACATTTGAAAATAAAACCCACATCCACATCTCATCACATCCAATCTGACCTAGCGCATGATGTGTAGCTGTATGAAATTAACTAGCTATATATTAATAATGAATTTTCTCGATTTCTTCCAGTTTCATACAACTCGATTTGAACTGTAAAAATTTGCATAAATCGTCATAAATTAGATGTAGACGAATTCTTGGCAAACTAAAAATATAAATTCATTTGTACTCTCATAGTGTAAAGGTACTAAATCATATTAAATACTCGATGTCCTAAAAGCGACGAGGTTATTACAAAGCCACAGTTTAAATCACCTCGTCATCCATCAAAAAATCGTTTCGAAATTAAAGTAATTAAAACATTACTAAACAAGAGTCTCACATATAAACTCCATACATTGTATCAGCTTGCAGTTGCACCTTTAAGCAAAACACGTGACGCAGTAACTAAAAACCGTAATCCTACACGAAAATCGAGCAATTGTCTATTGTTAGATACTGATTTAATTGAGTATCATAATCACATTGACCTAGTACAATCGATTAAACAAATGACGTCACCTAATTACCTTTCTCTAATCAGTAACCGCGTGCTGTCAGGCACGTCGTCTCTCTAGACGAGGCAGATAAAAAATTACTAGTACTTTTTCGTCAAAATGCTATGGTAGTCGCCATAGCTTATCGTTGACCCATCCCAAGTAGCACATAAATAATATATTAACTAAAATAAGTACCGATTTATGTCCTAAAGTCATACTAACATTTTTAATCAGCTCTGGTCAAGTTTCGAATCTGTTTAAAGGCATTTATTTTATCTAATAATGCTTAATGCCATATTATGGTTAATAAAAAAAGTATACCAATGTCAAAACTCCTATTTAAGTATTGGGTAATATTAATATAAAGCTGTTATCGTATTTCGGTGATATGAAAAACATTATATATTATATAAGCATTAACGTAATACTATTTAGTGCACTTAGTTGTATTTAGTCATTTTCTAGAAACAAAGGTTTTCTAATGGTCTATGGTTGTATCGATTTAATGCTTATCCTATATACACATTGAATAAAGAACTAGTAAAACTTTAGCACCGATTTGTTCTTAAAGTATTCTTTAATCAAGCTCAAGCTCCTTTATCTTCTTAATCTATGCTTTTATAAAACATTAAGCTATATTTTGATCAATATTAAGTTATTTATAGAGATAGAAGTAATAAATAGATCGTAATTATTTTTTATGTGAAATTAAAATGTAAAATTATTTTATGTATTGTATTGTAATGGTGGCATTTTATACGCATCGCTGGCGCCATGGACAAAAAACGTTGGGAAAAACAAAGAAAACAGGTGGATATAAATGAAAACTGAAAAAAGAGTATTCTAATTTAATTGAAGCTTTTAAAAATCAAAATAAAAATGAAATAATCGTTTGATGATTATAAGCACTATAAGATACTTCTGAAGTGTAAAAATACGGCTGTAACTAAAATGGGAGTGTGTTATACGGTGAATTACGAGCTCTTAGTTTTGTGTCTAACCATAATACGATTAACAGCTCTACTACACCATATTTGAATACCTAATGCTTTAATTTTACGAGTCGCCATTTGCTTTCTTTTTCCAATTCTTACAAAATATTTAAAGTCAACTGTGTCAGATGAAAAGGGGTAAATAATCATTTATTTTGTGCACAGATGCCTATAAAAGCAATTATGTTGTTAAAACAATGCTAAAAAGCCTAAAATTCAACAAAAATTTTTGCTACTAGGTTAAATTTTTTATTATTTTTATTATATTAAAGGAAGTTTGCGAAGGCGCGTGTATTTTACACCATAAACTTGTATATTTTACTCCACAAACTGATGTGTGCAGCTTATTTCACACAAAACGAGCTGTTTAAATCAATATTCAAAAATACTTAAAAGACCAGCCAAGAGAACATGTCATGACACTTACACAAAACAATAATTTAAACCGATTATATGTTTTTAAAATCTATTAAATATACTTTTTTACAAAGGAAATAAAACAGTAAGCATTTTTATAATATTAAATTAACGTATTATAATTTTGTATTGAGTACTAGCGACTTAGATAACATTGTAAACTACTTGGAAATTATATTTCAAATATTTACATTTCCGGCATATGGAATATTTATCAGATATATTCCCTAAGGTGACCGAAGGATTATTCTATTTTACAAATGCTTTAATACATACATATTTTAAAATTTAATATAGCAATTTCCGCTTTGCAATCCCTTAATGTTAAGTCAAAATTAACATATTCATACATGAATGTTGCGTATAAATGAAATCTTTTATGTAAATACAAAATTATGAATTTGAGTAAATTATTATCCGGTTAGTTCCATAACAAGTTTCCAGCGCTTTTAGGTTATAACTTGCATCCACCAACAAAGTTGTTAACGGCTTTAAAACAAGATATCTTTGTGTTAGTTATGTTTACTGCTGTCTTCAATTGAAGGTTAAACTTACATTGTGTCAAGTAATGTATGAAGTATCGGGTCACCCTGTATAAAGTTTTGCGTATACTTAATGCAAATTTAAAACTTACACGGTTTTCTCATAGTTTCCTATGCCAGATCTGGACCAAAATGAATTGTTTTTCAAATAAAAAAAGAATCTACAAAATCGGTCCACCCAGTAAAAACTTATGAAGTAACAAACAGAAAAAAAATACAGTTGTATTGAGAACCTCCTCCTTTTTTTGTAAAACCTTTCCTTTTGTTAAAAATACCTTTCAAAGCTTTATTTAGGCTAAGAACATTAATAATAAAAATTTGTTAAATCAATTCCACTCATCCCAGCCTGCAAATATACGTCATATATTTGTCCATAGCTTAGCAACAGCTCTAGCTACTGGATGTTACATTAATAATATTAGTAACACTTTTCACAAACACTCGTGATGTTTGCATTTACAATTACATTATTAGTACTGATTTATTTCCGTTACTTTACGTAGAAAACATACGTACGTGATGTTATGAATCTTATTACATTTCAAATTAGAATCAATTTCTAACAACATTCACAAAGAAATCGGATGTTATTTGATAGATGATCAAATGTATGGATCTCCTTATTAGCCTCACCTGTCATCAATCTAATTAGACCATTATCATCACCAAAAAACTTTTATAAAATGTAATTGGAAGATTTATAATGATGTTCTCCGTTTTGCAAATGATTATTTAATGATACCCACCAGAATGGCAGGATACTTACTTTAATTGCATTCTCGCTTGAATCATATATTTTTTATGGAATGCCTGTATGTATTAAATCTGATATTTTTTGGAAACATACATCACCAGCCCTTTTACGTCCCCACTGCAGGGGCTCAGGCCTTCCTTATGGATGGTTAAGGAGGATGGGCCATGACCCTCCACGCTGGCCCAATGCGGATGCAAATTGGAGGGTTTTAACGACAGCAAATGCAGCCGGGACCAACGGCTTAACGTGCCTTCCGAAGCACGGAGTAGCTCGAGATAATAATTTTTTGGTCACCCATCCCGTGACCGACCCTTGCGAAAGTTGCTTAACGACTACGATCGCGGGCTGCGGCGCATATCCACTACGCCACCGAGCTACTCATACATATCATAGAGCAATAGCAAAATATGTCTGAATTCTTCTTCTTCGTATTTCGTATACCATACCTTATAGGGTTTCGACGATGAACTATGCAAAATGTTCTCTATTTTTAGCTCTATTTTTTGTATGTTAATCCATTACAGTACATCCTGTATTAACAAATTTATAAATATATGTATCTTATATTTGAAACAATACAATAACACTCTTAATCTTCCACAGTATTGCAACGAAGACGTCTCAACCATTCCACGTGGCCCTCGGGGTCCTGGTGCTGACGCTGTGGCTGAGCAGGTCCGGCACTGATTCTAGTTTGAGGGGATGGCGCGCTTTATACGTCGGCGCTATCGCCATACATCTCGGAGCACAGATATGGATGACACTTGTCTCTGGTAAGTTTGAGTTTTTTATTAAAAACTAATATACACAGTGATTATCAAACTTTTTCGTCCAATCATTGAACTTGGATATAAAGGTGCGTTTCTACCAAAGTAAATTTGCCAACTCTCGTGATTACCATGATAGTTGGCAATTTTTTTATCAGATCGACGACATTGATGGAACCCAACTTGATTTACAACTCTCAATGATGCAAATTAATTTCATACTATATATATTTGTAGTATAATTGCCCTGTTTCATAATATCGCATCTAAAAATGAAGATGTTGATATAAAATGGTAGAATAGGTCGGTACATTAGAACAATTACACAAATTATAGTATCATCACTTTAACCTGAAACGTAATTGTAATAATAAATAGATGAAATCGCATGTCTTAAACCATTATGTTGATTTACAACGTTTTAAATTGGTTTAAATAAATAATAGGTACTTACTTATAAACCATAATGATGATTTACAAGGCTGTTGACTTTTTAATACGACTTTTTTAATATACTTCAATAAGTGTTTGTATTATATTACTTTAAAACAATTACCAAATAAATACTGCAGGATCAAAATACGTAGCAATATACTAATATCATAATTTTAAACATTTTTATTAGATATATTTAAGATGCAAAGTTTTTTTATTACATTAAAAAAATTACCCACCGTCGCATGTTAAGCAGGGGAAGTCGGTTCACATTAGCATGACGGTTAGTTAGGGCCTGCCTAGGAAGCGGTATCCAATTCGCAAATTGGTTTGAAACGATTCGCCGTACGTATCCCTCGTATTGATATGACCTTCGCACAGGTCGCGATTATTCCCAGCTGAATGAGTGACACTCGATTCAATCAATTGAGGTATAAGTTTTGGAACCGTGTTAAATATATACAGTGTTATTAATATAGGAGTAAATTTACACTGAGACTGTATTACAAGGTTCTACGTGCATAAAATTTACTACTAAAACACAGCCAATATTATTCCTTTACTACTACTAAAAGTAGGTTTATATATTCTCGCTATAATTGCAATTTTAAGCTTAAATTTACTCTGACGCTAAAACTTGTTTATTTATAACACTGATAATGAGGATGGCCAACCGTTCTATATATAGTAAGTATACTATCTCACACCTGTCTAAAGGTATCGACAAAGAAAAAGTATCCTGTCTAGACTGCTTAAATAACTTTCCCATTAATATATATAGTCCATAAAGTGGGATTTTCTTCACATTTGATATACTGGGAGTATATTTTCTATTTGTAAATCACTTTGTTTCTTCTTGATTCTTTCAAGACTTCTTCAATCAGAATAAGTTTTTCTGCAATATATCGATAAATCGAACAACCAATGAGAAATTTATGGATTATTATAATCTTGAAATAGATCTTTCAGTTTATAAAAGGTACCTAAACAAACGTTTCCATGTACCAAAAACCAAAAAAGGTACCAAATGGTACCAAAAACAAGACATCAATAACCTTTATTCATTCTTTAACATGTTTAACGTTTCATTTTAAACTTTGAAATATTCTTCTAAAAGATTTAAACAGTCATTCTTTATTATAAAGTACATTACATTGTTAATGAATAAGCATCATCAAGATTCTCAAATCTGTCTTTTTAATATAAATTTAATTCAATATAAATATCCAATTTCATTGTTATAAAAGCAAAAAACGCACAAACACTAAAATAGTTACAACCAGCAGCAACAAAAGAGCTAAATTCAATTATCATTCCGCTTTCGTTTCATTTTATTCACTTATTTAGTTTTACTCAATCATGTTAGAGAAATGTGTTTTAGTAAGTCTCGAATTTGATTATAGCATTAAGTAGGTATATGTACCGATATAACCTTAAAGTATCAATGACCTAGCTCTAAGATCATGATAGAGCAATTTTATTAAATTGAATACTCACGAGAATGATTCTATATATGTGTGTGTGTGTTAAGTATAAAGATAAGTATACCCACATTATATGGAAATTGATGGACGCTCCCAATTATAATCTAATAGATTCACTAATGTAAAAATGAGGATTATAATTTATAGAGTAGAAATTTTTTTTAGAAACGTATATTGACTGTCAAATTAAGCCTATTTTGACCACTTTTTATTACATGGGGTCATTAAACTAACAATGTCATACATTTTCATATTCACAGAGTAATAGGGTATTCCTGTAACTAGAAATTCTTTGCTCTTTATTTTTTCCAAAAACTGTTTAATAATCATTTTCTGGTATTGTCTCACAGGTATAGTGCTCTACTTCTCACTGCCCAGACATGAATTCGGACGTGTTCAGACAGTACTGTTTCCAGTATACTACGCGTTCAACGCCAGCATGAGTCTACTGGCGATACTCGCTTACTTCAAGACACAGTGCATCACACGCTTCGCTAACACCTCTTATGCACAGGTTGGTATAGAATAATATATATATATACTATAGAATTATAGAATCATACTGTAGAATAGGGATGATGACTGGGTAAAAGAAATGCAATTGCATTTAGTCCGTCAGTCAGATAATAGAAAAATATTGATACGTATTTTTTTTGCTTCAATTTAACAAGAAATAGCTTAGATAACAGGCATTAAAGTTGAGGAGTGGGGGCTCGCTACGCCACAGTTGAGTAGAAAACGTACTCTAACGTGACGTCATGCGAAATTTCAACTCAATGTAACGCCGTAATTTTATGATTACGAGAAAAAGTAAAAAATACGTGTTTAATATTTTTTAACACTCTACCTGACGGACAAACAAACAAAAATTAGTCATCATCCCTATTATACATATTCCACTGACAAAAAAGTAATGATAATAACCGCAGTTTTAATATTATTTTCCTTTAAAAAATGTATATCATAAAGTTTCTTAATCGAGCAGGTGTGTATGAAAAGACTTAAAATCTGGGGTAATAGAATTTATTCAATAGCGCCTATACTATAATCGTAATGACATTAATAAAGATTTTATTATTATTGAATAGGTTCTTGATTTACCGATGTAGAGACAATTCCAATATAATCACGTATCAGGTATTTTAATGTAAACATTTAGCCTCCATCAAATACTAATCGCTATCTCGCTTTTGCCAATTATTTTACCAAATAAAAAAAAATCTCTCCTTTTTATACTTAACACAACTGCTATTTTTTATACATTAAGTTCTGGAATCTTACATTTAAGGTGCCTATCGAAGTATTGTATTAAATTCCCATTAGAGTTGATTTCATGAATTTTTCTTTTACTTTAGTTTTTTTATTGAATGCAAAAAATTACGACCAATGAAAGCTGACGGACCGTTTTCTTTATATTACAAAGATCATGGACATGATCATTAATCGAAATATACATAAAATGTAATATAAACTCCCGCCATTTTATATTTAAGTTTATGACTATTGGCTGTTCGACTGTTAAGTTATAATTGCTTTGACTTATACTTACAATGTTGAGTTGTTTCAAATCATGTTTTATGAACACTTAGGTGAAATAATGTGATGAAACGAGTAGGTATTTGTACATTTTTGGGATTCACTAATGAGGCTTGAAACTTAAGAATTTGTTATGACTGTATGATGAATAGAGTCAGAAATTACCAATTTAAAACTTTTTTAAATTATCTAATTTGAGTAATCGTATTATAATGACTTTATCTTGTCGCACTTCCTTTATGATTTTATCTTTATTAAAATCAATAATTAGTAAATGATATCGATTATAATTAACTTCATTTATTTCTTCATGCTAGTTGCTAATGCGGGAGGGACAAATAATAAAATAAACGTTGCAGTTTTTTCCCGCCAAGGTTTGCACAATCATAGACAAAAGAAACGAGGTCGTACAACCCTTCTAATGGCACGACGGATTATCTTCGATTCCATTTTTAAATTCACGAAAGACATGATTAATGATTCGCTTTCTTAACGAGATGTTAATTTGTTAATCGGTATATAATTTCGAAATTATTATTAGTTAATAAACAAACTATAATTTACTTACGTATATTATGTAGACACCCAATAATGCTGTCTGCTGAAGGTTTTTAAACGCAAGGTTTTATTAAGGCCAGCGACTTAACCGAAGGCAGTTTTAATCCTTTAACGGCTAAACCGTTATTTGCTATAATCAGATTAAAAAAATCTTGTACTTAACCGGTTATGGTTTTTTCCATTTCCAGTCTTTAAGTCAAAGTTAGCTTTCTTTATTATTTAGCCTTTACAATATGTATTTTGTACTCGTAAATAATATCAAAAAGGTCCATCGATTATATAAATAGACTTAAGAACACCTATACTTAAGTCTCTCTATTCGTTTTCAACTCATAAAACATCAAGTAGGTATATCGATATTGTCTATGGTAATAACGATATAATTTGTTTGTGACAGTTCGCTCTGCTGGTGGCTGTATTTAGCATCGAGGCTTACGTGCGTCTCAGCTTGGTGCGACCGATGCTGCGCGCCAAGCATGTCAAAACACAGATGGAGGAAGTCGCTGGCGGTGGACAAGAGGTCAGTATTATAATAACTTTACACTATACCTACTAGCTAAACCTGACCAAGAAGTTCCCATGGACTTAATATTTTAGAAGTCAATACCTATATAAATTTTAAAACATAAAATTGTGAGTTTTCCAGTAAAATCCTGTTTTGTATTGAATACAATTCTTATGAAAGACATTAATGACTTATTACCAACCGTGATACCACAGTCCGTTGCTTATACTTATCACATCTTTAATTTTCAAGTTGATGGTACTTCACCGGACAGTTATTTATAAATATTTTCTAAAATTAAATGTCAATTGCGAATAATGAAAAAAAAAAAGATGAATGGCATTCATACTCTTTGACAGTATAATGTGTATGTTTTGCCTGAAAACAGTAAAGATATTCGACTCCTACTTAATAATTGGGTTTCAACAAATTCCGCGTGACAAATTGTACCGAGATCCTTCAACTTTCTCTACCCACGCTACTTTTATTTTAACATTTATTTTAACAGCAGGATTTAAATAGATTGTCCATGCACGTGAACAAGACACGTAATGGATGTGTGCCAATTGTAAGCTTGAATTCATTCAAATATTGGTAATTTAACAAACAATGACTTTGCCAGAAATAAATAACTTTATATTGGACTATTAACATTGAGTTTCCACTAAGTTATCATAGACATCAATGCTGAATGATTACCATACAAATAACTCTAGACTTCCGCTAATGCAGATACTCCTGCTTCGCACGGAAGTTACATATATAATTAGTAGCATGTCTTGAATGTATTTATTTCAAATTCAACAAACATCTTTAATACTTCTACAACATATAAAACTAGTGAATTACTCAGTTCATTAAAAAAAACCTCATAAATATCCGGTCGGTAGTTTTCACAGAAAGATAAGCATATTATGGGATCGAGAAAATTGAGTTTCATACCCAATCATGGCAAATACATGGGCAAAATAAGACAACACCGTGAATAGTCATATCATAAAATTCAATATGAGCATTTATAAAGAGGACTCGATTCTACTTCAAAAAGCTACTTTTAAAGGTTAACGATTTGGTCGAGTTATCTCGATTTGTTTTTTTTTTTAATTGAACTACCTTGTTAGATACATTACACTGGCATAGTGTATTCTAATGATTACAACTGCACCTTTTATCTCGTTTAAAAGCTCATACATCAAACATAAACTAAACTTTCTAACCGTTATTTCGCTTAGGTATAAATAATATTATGCAATATATAATACTTTGGTGATTACTTAAAGTTTAAAATCAACTGAAGAAATATGGTTGATTAAACCAATTTAATTAAAGCAATATTAATGTCAGTTTTCTTTTTATATCCTGAACTAAGCTTGTGGAATACTTACTGGAGAAACCTAAGAACAAAACTACAAATTGTGTGTTGCCATCATAAATAATGTTGAAATCTTCTTTGTTACAGGTCGGTCGCCTAGTCCTAGGCGAGCTCGCACACTGTCCCCGCTACATCCGAGTACTGAAAACATTCAGGATGTACCACTCCAGCATAGCTATGGGCACCATGATCACCCTCGGCTGTTCATTATATTCGACAATGATATTGGTGGACTCTATGTGCCAATAAAAAACGGTTCAAGTAGTCTTAATTTATATACTAAACGTCTTTTGATATACAAAAGAGATTAAGATAATAAATTAAGACTAGGCGCGCTGTAGTTGGGGGGTGACCCCTATCAGTCGCCAGGCGGCAGGGAAACCGCTTAAAGCATTTCCCCTATGAATAAAAAAAAATGCGCGCTGGTGATTTTTCGTCATCGTGACCCATAGTTTCTGTCACCGTGCTCCTGTATTTGTATAGAAGTCACCTAATTATTACGTGTTCAAGTGCACGCTCGACGACAAGGATTCTCAGGCACGGTGACAGATGACAGAAAGTCATCGGTGCGCGCGTAGCCATTTAATATATTTTTTTAATGTAATCAAACTATAACTGCCATAGTCAGTAACCTTAAAAGATCTATCATACGGTATCTAGGAAATGCTAAGTATTCTTATAAAACGGAAAACTCAGCTTATCTTTGTTTTTTTTTTATTTATACTGCGGATTATTTCTATGTTATTTTCCGGTAAAGTATTTGGAGGTTTTATTTCGTATATTAGAAATTCCCGTTAAATTAATTACTGTAATTACTTCAACAGATTTTATTCTGATAATGATTAGTTGCAACAGACGTCATATATACACATGTAATTGTCAAAACAAATGATGCAATAACAATCGATTTTGTTTATCTAATTTAACGAATCAAATGCAAATGTTATTCTAACAGACAGTATTTTTATTATATTAATTATAATTTTACTTTTAAGTAGGCATTATTTAAATATTCCCATAAAACAATTCAGGCTGTGAAGTCTTTTGAGAGGAAAGTCTTTTATTAATTGGACAATGTTTTATATCAAGAAAATGAAATCGGTATACATAATGGCGCTGGTCGCTGTAATTTTCATTTAATTAGACAAAAAATTGTATTATCGTTTATTTAATTATGTTTTGGCACAATATAATGAGAGCGTCTTGCTAAAGTCGTGTTGTGTTTACAAGATTTCGAATTGTTTCATTTTCATCGCACTAATTAATTCATTCGTGTTATTCATTTTAAAATATCATAATGCCATAAGCAGTAACACGTTATTTTTGTTATCAGCTCTTAAATACAATGGAACCATGATTGCAATATCGTATTTGTAAAGCGCCATCTTGCTTCAATGATTGCATTTGCATTTAAGAGCTGAAATATTATTACGTTTCATTAATCATCTGGTTGATCGAATCAGGTATTTATTACATTCTAGGATTTATGTTAGTTAATCGTGGCATTTATGGACCTTGCCAGTCTGTTAATTAATTTATATTACTTATACTAGTGTCGCAATTAAGTTTTATTATATAGAAGCGACCGCAGCCGGCCCATCATAAGCTGCTTGATATGAAGAAACTCAGTTGTCTGCTCTCTAATTTCCTGCAATACTGCCATAAAATAGTTTTAGTTTAGGTTTAAGTATTACATAGATTCTTGATAGCACTATTAGACGGGCAATCGTAAAACCCTCCGCAGGAAGTTACGAGGTGACCACCAACGTTTATTTCTGCAGTCACGAGAATTGCTGGTCATATGAACAGTGTAACCGGACATTTCTGAATGGACTTTGACATTAAGTTACTATCCACAAAATATTAAATTTCTGCAACTAAAGTAAAGCTTTAGTTTACGATCTATAAAGTATTAATAGAAGAAATTTGAGAATTTTGGGTAACTTAACTTGCTGAAAAGCCTCATTTGTTATGAGAAAAGTCGAAGAGATCGCGGCAAACTTCTCAAGTACCCAGCGATTGTCGTTTTTGACTGCGCATTCAACCCGCTATCAAATTGTAGCCGGTCGCTAATCGCTTTAATGATTGAAATCGTTATTTTGTGACAGCATCGGTACAATAAAACGTTGGACCATGCGTGGACTAATCCTACCAATTCTGATGATTGCCGAATTTACAGTCAAAATTTATAATTTACCTTATTGTCATAAGTTGTAAAATATAATTAGGTATCCATCTCAGTGCCAGCCAATAGCGTGCTACTTTAATCATTCTGATTGGCCAACATTTGGCGCCTTTTCAAATTTATTGTTATACGCAGGTACATCGATGTGCCTAAATAGTTGTCTTTCACTGTAATCGAGCGGTGGAGCCGTATTTAAAAACTTTCGATTCCAATCTTTCTATTCGTGTATAACGATTGCGACCGTGGGTTCTCTGATGAGCGTTGTCTAAGCTTAAATTAAGCTTAAATCTTTACTCTCGGTTGATTAAGCTTATTCAAGCAGCTTACACCAATTATAAAATCGGGCCTGATTGGCTAATCTAAGAGTCAATGACTAGATAAAATATTGAATAGATTTAATACTATTTATAAAACGAATTAATAGTTTAGTTTTTATAATAATCTTCAATGATCTGAATGTTACAAAAATGTGAAGGAAAATATAATTTATTTGTGAATGTGTTGTGAATTTACACTAAAATATATGAATTAAAATCTATGACGTGTTATTCATTTATTATTCGTTATAATATTTTCAGCAGCAATTTCCGGAAAACACCATTCCAATACCCGACATACTTATATGGTCTAAGGCGGCTAAGTTCACAAATCCGTCTGAATGTTGATGGTACAAGAAATAGTCGGAGTAAAAGTAGCTTCTGTTTTAGCTTTATTGAATTGTCAATTTAACATCTTCCAGACACTGTTTAGATTTATTTAAACAACGTTTATTTTTCACTTTGTAGCGTTGATTCGCTAATCTATTCGACGACTTGCAGTTTTCATCCCATCTGTATTTATCAGAATGACCTAATGTGGAAGTATTAAAAAAAAATTGTTCCCGAAATCTTCTCCATGACAAGCCTTCCGATTTTCTTTCATGTATAGAAGTAAAATAATTTTTCAAAACTCAATAAACAACTTACTTAAATTGTATTTGTAGGTACATTTTCGTATTTGTATTATCTAAGATATCTAAGTTTCTAACTTTGCAAATTTAATTTTTTTTTAATGTTAGTTATAAGGAACGGAAATGACTATCTTCGGTCCATTCGTTTTCTGCAAAAATCTATTTTCGGTAGAGTCGCCATCTAATGTACTTTTTAGTGCTTTCTTTTTTTCTTATAATTCTTTCTCATTCCATTCCATTCCTGTTTGTCGGAGCTGGAGCATATTCTAAGTTTACTATTATTACGAAATAATTAGAAATACGTCTACTTGTTTTAATGTGTGTCGAGAATACGTTGAACTTTGAATATATCCGCCTAGCCAGGTAAAAATCATATTATTTAAAATATTTTGATGACAATTTAACTAAACGATTGTTATTAATTACGCATTTGTAGTATGTTTTGTGCATAACATTACATTTTGTATGAAATACAATGTTAAGATGATAATTTACGAGAATAATATAACTCACAACGTATAATTAGTAATATTATATTTATTCACTTCGAATAACTTTCAAAACTGCTGGAAGTTTTCAGGAAAGTTTCCTCAGAGTGTAAAGATTCGCTGCAATTTTTATTTTTAATCCCTATGCATTCACATTGCAGACCCAACGCATTAACACTACGCCATCTAGTTCCTCCGAATTGATTCACTCTATTATCTTCGACAAACACAATCAATTATTGTATAATAGGGTTGTATACTAATACATACTAATGCATTGATATAGTAATTAATTTGTATTAAATCAATGAGCTGTTGGAAATACATAATGTACAATCAATTGAACATCTAACTATACAAAACTGTCAAATTTCTCCATTTCAATTAAACTTTAATGCATTGTAGATAAAATTCAAACTCAAACTCAATTATCAACATATATTTTTTGTGCCTACAAAGTATTACAAAGAAATAACGTGCAAATAAATAGAAAGTTTTGTTAGAAAATGTAAATCAAATGTAGTTCTTAGGGTCTCGTACCCACAGGATATAACGGGACCATATTACTGAGTCTCTGGTGTTCATCCGTATGTTCGTATCCAGGCTATATCTCATGAGCCATAATTAGACTAAGAAATGGAATAAAACTAAATTTTCTAGTACGTTCGTTTTAGTTTAAAGACATCTCTGCCGGTAATTTATGTTTCAGAGAATTAATTTTCATGTTAAGCAATGAAGAGGATTGAGAAAATATCGGTGGGGATATAACTTCGATATCTAGGAAGTTTGAAGAGTCAGAAGCCAGGTCTATGGTAATTACTACCTTTTAACTCTCAGAATACTTAAATATACAAATCTAGTGCTAACTAACAACCAGAGGTCGGAATTAGATGGAGTTATTTATGTACTTGCATCGAAATGATATTAATGTGGACCTTCGTGGCAACATCGCGCGTATTGGTATTTTGCAACTTTGGACATCCGATGTCATTGATGTAAGTTTGGCAACGTCGTGCGTACAGTAATTTAAATTGTGTAAAAGTAAATAACTTTTTATTTAAAAAATCACGGGATTTTTTCTGCTCTTTAAAATTAATCTCGGGATTTGAGGCATATCCACTTTATTCTTTCGCTGTATGAAATCAATGTAAGTACATGAATAACTCTACCTAATTCCGACCACTGCTAATAACACGAAGCATTTACAAATGTATGTATGTAAATAAGAAGAATTCAATTTTTAACTTAGTAGCAAATTCCTATGATTATAAATAAAACCAAACCAATACAACCGACCAAAACAACGTGTGTCAAACACTTAAGAAACAGGAAAAACGATTAAAATTTGAAATCAAATAAAAAAGACAGATTTATATAACTTGACGTGCTGTTGACTGTACATTGTGGTTAATAGTGGGACACATCACCGCGAAATGTCATATTCAATACAGTATTTCTCCTTAGTGTGGTCCCGCCATAGAAAAACCTGGGAAGTTGTTGGTGTACTCGTGAGTCATTTTGAAATCGATTTGCAATTATTTTGCAACAGCCTTTTAAATGGTTTGCAACAAGCAAGGTCACCGAAACGCTGATTTTTGACCGTCTGCGTTAACTAACAACGTCGAAAATATTTCTGAACAAATAAAAAGAACTGCCATTGCAAAAAAGATAATGTCAATGTCAAATGTTTCTTCTTCTTCTTCTTCTTTTATTAATGGCTTATCTGCGCATTTCGCACAATTCTGCCAATGTCAAGTGAATAAATAAATTTCTACATGTAAAATGAAAACGAAATGAATGCAAGATGGCGATGATGTCCGTGTTTTCATGTCAAATGTTAATCCGCAGTAGGGATGGCGATTCTTTACGAAAACGATCGATTTTTAAATCGATTCGAATAGTAGTCTAATGTATCAATTAACGAAAAAACGGAGTTAAACAAAACCGATTCTTAAAAAATCGAGCTATTTTTCAAGTTTGCGTTTACAATGTTACCACTAGAGATTGGGCAGCTTAATGCACAGCGTTTAGGCATTGTAGTGTGGATGGCTTAAACAGAATCCACAATAAAATTAAAACTAAACACTAAAACCAATTCAGCGACTTTTCGCACAGTTTTGAATAACACATAAAAGCGTCTTTTCGCTCACGGTTTAGAACAACACAGAAATGCGTCTTTTCGCGAATTGCAGAGGAACGAATTCAACTAGAATCCTCTTCCAAGAAATGTAGCGGTACGAAGGAGTGAACTCGACTTCATTACTTCAAAAGTTAAAATTGCTCGTCGTGCGTCATGTATACTCAGGTAACAACAACAACAACATCATCAGATCAGCCATTATTATTGCCATATCACAAACAATGTTGCTATGAACAAATTTAGTAATTTCTTCAATTTTCATTTACATAATAATATTTTTAATAACTTCTAAACGGTTCTATAATTAAATAAAATAATTATTAAATAAAAAATAATTAAAATAATAACCATATTAGAACGATAAACGCAGTAGTAGTGACATTTATGGTATCACATAGCAGTAATTTTATTAACCCGACATACTTATATGGTCTAAGGCGGCTAAGTTCACAAATCCGTCTGAATGTTGATGGTACAAGAAATAGTCGGAGTAAAAGTAGCTTCTGTTTTAGCTTTATTGAATTGTCAATTTAACATCTTCCAGACACTGTTTAGATTTATTTAAACAACGTTTATTTTTCACTTTGTAGCGTTGATTCGCTAATCTATTCGACGACTTGCAGTTTTCATCCCATCTGTATTTATCAGAATGACCTAATGTGGAAGTATTAAAAAAAAATTGTTCCCGAAATCTTCTCCATGACAAGCCTTCCGATTTTCTTTCATGTATAGAAGTAAAATAATTTTTCAAAACTCAATAAACAACTTACTTAAATTGTATTTGTAGGTACATTTTCGTATTTGTATTATCTAAGATATCTAAGTTTCTAACTTTGCAAATTTAATTTTTTTTTAATGTTAGTTATAAGGAACGGAAATGACTATCTTCGGTCCATTCGTTTTCTGCAAAAATCTATTTTCGGTAGAGTCGCCATCTAATGTACTTTTTAGTGCTTTCTTTTTTTCTTATAATTCTTTCTCATTCCATTCCATTCCTGTTTGTCGGAGCTGGAGCATATTCTAAGTTTACTATTATTACGAAATAATTAGAAATACGTCTACTTGTTTTAATGTGTGTCGAGAATACGTTGAACTTTGAATATATCCGCCTAGCCAGGTAAAAATCATATTATTTAAAATATTTTGATGACAATTTAACTAAACGATTGTTATTAATTACGCATTTGTAGTATGTTTTGTGCATAACATTACATTTTGTATGAAATACAATGTTAAGATGATAATTTACGAGAATAATATAACTCACAACGTATAATTAGTAATATTATATTTATTCACTTCGAATAACTTTCAAAACTGCTGGAAGTTTTCAGGAAAGTTTCCTCAGAGTGTAAAGATTCGCTGCAATTTTTATTTTTAATCCCTATGCATTCACATTGCAGACCCAACGCATTAACACTACGCCATCTAGTTCCTCCGAATTGATTCACTCTATTATCTTCGACAAACACAATCAATTATTGTATAATAGGGTTGTATACTAATACATACTAATGCATTGATATAGTAATTAATTTGTATTAAATCAATGAGCTGTTGGAAATACATAATGTACAATCAATTGAACATCTAACTATACAAAACTGTCAAATTTCTCCATTTCAATTAAACTTTAATGCATTGTAGATAAAATTCAAACTCAAACTCAATTATCAACATATATTTTTTGTGCCTACAAAGTATTACAAAGAAATAACGTGCAAATAAATAGAAAGTTTTGTTAGAAAATGTAAATCAAATGTAGTTCTTAGGGTCTCGTACCCACAGGATATAACGGGACCATATTACTGAGTCTCTGGTGTTCATCCGTATGTTCGTATCCAGGCTATATCTCATGAGCCATAATTAGACTAAGAAATGGAATAAAACTAAATTTTCTAGTACGTTCGTTTTAGTTTAAAGACATCTCTGCCGGTAATTTATGTTTCAGAGAATTAATTTTCATGTTAAGCAATGAAGAGGATTGAGAAAATATCGGTGGGGATATAACTTCGATATCTAGGAAGTTTGAAGAGTCAGAAGCCAGGTCTATGGTAATTACTACCTTTTAACTCTCAGAATACTTAAATATACAAATCTAGTGCTAACTAACAACCAGAGGTCGGAATTAGATGGAGTTATTTATGTACTTGCATCGAAATGTTGATATTAATGTGGACCTTCGTGGCAACATCGCGCGTATTGGTATTTTGCAACTTTGGACATCCGATGTCATTGATGTAAGTTTGGCAACGTCGTGCGTACAGTAATTTAAATTGTGTAAAAGTAAATAACTTTTTATTTAAAAAATCACGGGATTTTTTCTGCTCTTTAAAATTAATCTCGGGATTTGAGGCATATCCACTTTATTCTTTCGCTGTATGAAATCAATGTAAGTACATGAATAACTCTACCTAATTCCGACCACTGCTAATAACACGAAGCATTTACAAATGTATGTATGTAAATAAGAAGAATTCAATTTTTAACTTAGTAGCAAATTCCTATGATTATAAATAAAACCAAACCAATACAACCGACCAAAACAACGTGTGTCAAACACTTAAGAAACAGGAAAAACGATTAAAATTTGAAATCAAATAAAAAAGACAGATTTATATAACTTGACGTGCTGTTGACTGTACATTGTGGTTAATAGTGGGACACATCACCGCGAAATGTCATATTCAATACAGTATTTCTCCTTAGTGTGGTCCCGCCATAGAAAAACCTGGGAAGTTGTTGGTGTACTCGTGAGTCATTTTGAAATCGATTTGCAATTATTTTGCAACAGCCTTTTAAATGGTTTGCAACAAGCAAGGTCACCGAAACGCTGATTTTTGACCGTCTGCGTTAACTAACAACGTCGAAAATATTTCTGAACAAATAAAAAGAACTGCCATTGCAAAAAAGATAATGTCAATGTCAAATGTTTCTTCTTCTTCTTCTTCTTTTATTAATGGCTTATCTGCGCATTTCGCACAATTCTGCCAATGTCAAGTGAATAAATAAATTTCTACATGTAAAATGAAAACGAAATGAATGCAAGATGGCGATGATGTCCGTGTTTTCATGTCAAATGTTAATCCGCAGTAGGGATGGCGATTCTTTACGAAAACGATCGATTTTTAAATCGATTCGAATAGTAGTCTAATGTATCAATTAACGAAAAAACGGAGTTAAACAAAACCGATTCTTAAAAAATCGAGCTATTTTTCAAGTTTGCGTTTACAATGTTACCACTAGAGATTGGGCAGCTTAATGCACAGCGTTTAGGCATTGTAGTGTGGATGGCTTAAACAGAATCCACAATAAAATTAAAACTAAACACTAAAACCAATTCAGCGACTTTTCGCACAGTTTTGAATAACACATAAAAGCGTCTTTTCGCTCACGGTTTAGAACAACACAGAAATGCGTCTTTTCGCGAATTGCAGAGGAACGAATTCAACTAGAATCCTCTTCCAAGAAATGTAGCGGTACGAAGGAGTGAACTCGACTTCATTACTTCAAAAGTTAAAATTGCTCGTCGTGCGTCATGTATACTCAGGTAACAACAACAACAACATCATCAGATCAGCCATTATTATTGCCATATCACAAACAATGTTGCTATGAACAAATTTAGTAATTTCTTCAATTTTCATTTACATAATAATATTTTTAATAACTTCTAAACGGTTCTATAATTAAATAAAATAATTATTAAATAAAAAATAATTAAAATAATAACCATATTAGAACGATAAACGCAGTAGTAGTGACATTTATGGTATCACATAGCAGTAATTTTATTACAAAATCTTTTAGAAATCGCTTAATAGATGGTGCTAGTTTCCATACAAATCTCTTTTTGTATGGTGATATAGGGAAGTGTCCTACCCCTAGTTTATACCAAAACAGAAAAAATCGAATGTCGATTTTCAAGGGTGATATATCGATTCAATGAATCGACTCAGTACTTCATATCGATTAAAGATATCGATTTTATTTTTTTTGGACGAATAATCGATTCTTCGATTTATCGATCTCAATCGCCAACCCTAATCCGCAGGTTATTGTCAAGTAAACGTCAAACTGAAGTACTATTGTGATCTGTCAAACTACGAAATATGACCTTACGTGGTTTTCTACTATTTGCGATTAAAAAAAATCTTGCGATTTATAATGCAATCTAAATTAGACACAGTGATTACTACACAGATTTGGTCGCTCTATGAGCGTTTTATTCAACAAAATAATCATGATATTCATAGGTAGAGTAAATAATTCTGAAAACATGAAAAGTGATACAAGAACTAGTTTACTCTCGAAAATGATTGTGGACAGATGTAAAACAGTGATCCTATTATCCAGTGTAGTGTGTACGTTAGCTGTAGTTATATCCTTACACAAATTACTAAGTTACGATGTAAAACTAACGAAACCGTTTTCTCCAATACCAGCTGGTCTTTATGGTAATTATATAGAAACTGTAGACCAATATAACATTCCTTCCACCCCCAAGAAAGCCGATAAAGCCCGAGATGCTGAAGCGGTTGTGTCACTAAACGCAGCTTTAGAAATGAAGAAACATGGTAAGTCAGACAAAGCCTTAAAACTGTTCCAACATGCCTTTGCTTTGTCCCCGAAACATGCAGACATTTTGAATCATTATGGGGAATTTTTAGAAGACACTAAGAAGGATGTCTTGAAAGCTAATCAATTATATACACTAGCATTAACAAATTATCCAGATCACACTGGTGCTTTGATGAATAGACAGCGCACAGCAAGTATAGTAGAGAATTTAGACAGAGAAATGTTAAGAAAGATAGATGAAAAGAGAGATGCTCTCTTATCTATACCTGAAAACAATTCTGCTTTATGTAGAGCAAAAAAGGAGGCTTATTTTCAACACATTTACCACACGGTCGGCATAGAAGGTAACACAATGACACTGCAGCAGACTAGGAGTATATTGGAGACAAGGATCGCTGTGGCTGGGAAGAGTATTGATGAGCACAATGAGATCTTGGGCTTGGATGCAGCTATGAAATATATAAATTCCACCTTACTGTACAGACTGAGGGACATCACAATGGGTGATATTTTAGAAATTCATAAGAGAGTACTGGGTCATGTTGACCCAGTGGAAGGTGGACAGTTCAGAAGAACCCAAGTATATGTTGGTGGTCACATACCGCCAGGCCCTTCAGAGATACAGAGACTTATGAGTCAGTTTCTGGAATGGCTAAACTCTGAAGATGCATTGGATTTGCACCCAGTAAGGTAAATCAATGTCTAATATTCATTTTTCATTTGTGTGGTGTTTTCAGGCAGTTTAATTCAAGCATAATGAACATTTAAGAGAAATGTACCTTTATACAGATAAGAAATTCTATATTATCCATAACTTTGAGTAATTTTAGTTTATTGAGAAGTGTTTGGATGTGAATGACAATCTCACTTTTATGCACACATCATGGGGAGATGCTATCTGCCTAGAAAACATCTTGGTTAAACTGTAAATTTCATTTGTATCTACATAACAGCATCTACAAATCAAAATAATACGTAATGATCTTTGAAAAAGTAAAAAACATACATTGCTGTTGTACATAAACCTCCTTCTTTTCGATTTTGAAGTCTGTTAATAACAAGCTTTTGTGGCACCACAGTTTTTATAGACAAGTCAAACTCAACAGGATTATTTCATTGCAAACTTTCCAGTTCCATCATCAGACCCCAAATATTACCTAGGACCAAAGCCATTGTCAAGACAAATCAAACAATCCTAAATTAGATGGAATGAAAAATAGTTGCTTACTTTCCAGCTCTGTTCCCTATTGGTATTGGATAAAATTTTTATATGTCTGCAAAAATTCATCATCAGCCAATCAAATTACATCCCCAATACGGGGGCTCAGGCCTTCCTTATGGAGGGTTAAGGAGGATAGGCCATAACCAGGGGTTGCTGATAAATATCAATGGAATATATCAATTGATGTTTATAATATTTATTGTTAGTTTGTATATTGAGTCTCAACTATAAAATTGACAATGTGAGACTGGCAACATTGACCTGAAGGCAAACTTACTAGAAATCCTCGCATTCATACTACTTTTTAATTATGTTATAATGAATAAACAAATATTAAATAATGACACTGGCAGCTGAAAAAAAGCAGCTTTTCATATGCATGATAAATATCCAATATGTATCGGATTTTTGCAAACCCAGCCATAACCCTCTAAATTCACCCAATGCTGATTAAAGGATATTAACGACAACAAATGAAGCCGGGATCAATGGCTGATTTGCCTTTCAAAGCAAGCAGTTGCTCTATATAAGATTTTTTGGTCACCCATCCCGTAGCCGACCCTTGCGATAGTTGCTTAACAACAACGTACGCGTGCCGCGGCACTTATTCACTATGCCACCAAGCTACTCAACGCAAAGAATCAACTCAATCGAATTCCCTGAATGAGGTTCAAATTAAGCATTCAAGATTTGACTCTATTTGATTTGATTTATCACAGCAAATTAGATAAAAGTTTGTAAAACTAAATAAACCACACGTTGCCCTTGCGCGCTCACTCTGGGTGCCCGCCCTAACATAATTCAATAATATTATTTAACTTGTCCATTATTATTGAAGCTGAACCTTCACAATCTTTATTGTAAAATATACTACAAGTACGTATTTGTTGCTTTGGCACTTAAAAGGAGGTCTCAACCTATGTACTGAAAATGTAAATGTTTTGGACAATAAATATTATTATTATAAAAAAATATATATTATTATTGTTGTATTAAATTAGAAATAAACTGAAAATAGCATCAAAACAAACATGCATTTGACAAGTTCTATGAAGATACATTCATATTCAATTGGGAATATTTTAGTGTAATCTAATGTTGCTGTGTGTACATACGTCCAAATCTTCCGAAAATTAAAAAAACTAAATCAAAGGTTGACTTGACAGTTATCTATACCAATATCTTTTTGATAGACGTGCTTGTTTGTTTGCATTGAACAGTTAGTTATAACTTAATTAATTAAAAGTAAATTACAGATTATGTCACCAACCCATCCTCCTATGTGACAGAATTTTTAATTCGTTTTAGTAGTTCACAGGGTCTTTTCTATGCAACCAAAATCTTTCCTCTTTATAATATTAATAGAGATAAAACAATACAATACAAAATATAATAATCAGAGGTCGGAATTAGGTAGAGTTATTTATGTACTTGCATCGAAATGTTGATATTAATGTGGACTTTCCCGGGATTTCTAATGGACAATCTTGGACATCTTTGGACATCCGATGTCATTGATGTAAGTTTGGCAACGTCGTGCGTGCAGTAGTTTAAATTGTGTAAAAGTAAATAACTTTTTATTTAAAAAATCACGGGATTTTTTCTGCTCTTTAAAATTAATCTCGGGATTTGAGGCATATCCACTTTATTCTTTCGCTGTATGAAATCAGTGTAAGTACATGAATAACTCTACCTAATTCCGACCACTGATAATAATATTAATTTTATTTAATAAATGCTATTATGAATCACCATATTGTCAACTTTGTTTAATTGCTTATAAACCTCGTGTCTAGGTACGCGGCATTAGCCCATTACAAGTTGGTACACATCCACCCGTTCATCGACGGCAACGGGCGCACGTCGCGGCTGCTAATGAACCTGCTGCTGATGCAGGCTGGCTACCCACCCGTCATCATAGTGAAGCAACATCGCCATCTGTACTATCAACACCTGCAGACTGCGAACGAGGGAGATGTGCGACCCTTTGTAAGGTACGCAAAGATCACAAAGTATCGGAATAATCGTTTTTTGTTTTAGACAGATCCAATTCGAAATTAGGTAGCTAAAATACTTAAGTATTAAGAGAATCTGAAACAACCAAAGTACCTGAGATATTACAGAAAAGTTCATTCTTATTTAGCTGACCGGAAATCGAACCCGGCATGTCAGTGACACCTTGAAACCTACGTGTCGTTCACTCGGCCAGTGTTAGGAGATTCTATTCTTTCGCATTTTTTGTGTCAATGAAAACGAAAGCACTAAAAAAGCACCTCCACTAGATGGCGACTCTAGCAAAAGTTGATATTTGCAGGAAACGAATGGACCAAAGACAGTAATTTTCGTTCCCTTTAACGTTACGAAAAAGTACAAATAGAATATGAGTTGTTTATTGAGTTTTGAAAACTAATTTACTTTTAAACTTGAAAGAAAACCGAAAAGGTTGTCATGGAGAAATCAAGAATGTACCGTAGCGACATCTAGTTTGATTTCGGGAATTAATGTTTTTTTTTTCAATTCTTCAACATTGTCCTTTACTAACCGACAGATCATCACATCGTCATATTATTAAATAGAGGTTCACCAAAAATTATAAAATTTAAAATTATTTTTATATTTAAAGAAATAAAAGCTTTAATTAAAAACTGAATAATATATTTGTAAAGGTTTGGCTACATTCAAAACGTCATAAAATTGTCACGACAGATAAAAGCACTGTGTTACCCCTGTAACTTTTCAATTCCTTTCCGTACTTATGTTCTTTTTTATTAAAATAACAATTATTGTAATGTTGAGTTCCGAGTAATTAATTAAAAGGTTTTTGATGCGCAATAAGCCATCTTCCGTCCCAATGTATATTTTATCGATTTTATCGCTTTTACAAAGTTATAAATTTTACCTATACTATAAGTATAGATGTATTATTATCAGAGGTCGGAATTAGGTAGAGTTATTTATGTACTTGCATCGAAATGTTGATATTAATGTGGACCTTCCCGGGACTTCTTTATTTCTTCTTTCTTTCATTGATGTAAGTTTGGCAACGTCGTGCGTGCAGTAGTTTAAATTGTGTAAAAGTAAATAACTTTTTGTTTAAAAAATCTCGGGATTTTTTTCTGCTCTTTAAAATTAATCTCGGGATTTGAGGTATATCCACTTTATTCTTTTGCTGTATGAAATCAGTGTAAGTACATGAATAACTCTACCTAATTCCGACCACTGATTATTATGTATGTTACTTGTTAAAATAACAAAAGACAAATGGATATTCTAGAAGACTCGTATGATTTGTTACAGATTCATAGCACAATGCACAGAGCGCACTTTGAACCTTTATTTATGGGCGACCAGTGAGTACTCGCACATGGTGCCCGCGATAGGTGAACCGCACATCCTCACCGGTGAGGACCTCGAAGAAGACCTTCTATGACCAACGCTTCACTCACACGAAACTGTGTACTACAGTTCAAGTACAAAGGTTACCTAGACGATTGACACTCGGGGTGAGTTGATGTTTATATGCAGAAGATCACTCGAGTGTAGTTTAATTCCACTATTGTCAAATACAGAATGTGTTATTATTTATTGTAACATACATTACCCTATGGTATATTTTCCATAATTATATACCGTCTCATTATAATACAAGGACTAAGTTTAGTTCCGGGTTTAAACCATTGTCTGACCAAATTAAGTCAACACGTCTCAATTTGACGTTATCTCGTCAGTTACTGTCAATTTCATTCACTAAATTTAGTTCTCGTTTTATAGACAACTAGAGTTGTGGAATCTTTTATTAGGTATTTTTTGTATATTTTATTGGTACTTTTTTGTACATTTTAAACGTAACGGCGTGGGTTAATTCTGTTAATATTGACGTCCTCATTCTCGTTTTAAAAATTTGCCATTAAACCATCCGCTTTATTGCTTTTCGACCTGCTTCCACTAGGAGAATGAGTCCGCGGGGAGAGATCCACATAGGTAACTACGCTAGTCCCCTCTCGGGAATAGCGGCATGCGGAATGCGTTTCCATTCTTCGAAAAAAGCACCATCAAGCTGCATTTAAGAAGACACCATAATTACTTTAATATTAACAGAATTGAGACGCTCGTAAAAAGAGTTATAGTTGACAACGATTAATAACAAACTTTGTTTTAATCATCGCAACTCTTTATCGTTCCTGTCGCGTGCATGCGCGATTAGTTCCTGCTCATTCCATAAATTCACTGAAGTTAAAAACATTTATGAGTGAAATTCCATTTTGTGCAAAACGCTGGCGTTGTGTACAACACAATATTCATTATATTTTAACAATATTTGCATTCACAATGTTACTTCTTATGGCACAAAGTGGATTTCTTAAACATTTTTCATTATGAATACAATATTCGTTGTAAAATAGTTCACATAACCACAGAAGTGTAATCGATTAACTATATTCCGTATTACAACGGAATTTCAAAAGTGTTTATAAACTAGGAATACATATGAACTTATAATAATACTCGGTTTGATCAAAGTTCTCTCTTTTTTTACAACAGTAATAACAATTAATCTAATTTTAAACAAACAAAACAAATCAAAATCTCCGAAAATAACAAAAAATATTGTCCTGTAGGGCTTTTTTTACATTCATATTTTTTGCTTACAACACTCAAGTAATTTATTTGAAGAAAAAATCCACAGCAAGTTCTTATCTTAATTATAGTAGACCAATTTTACCAATGAAGCAGTCTGTAGAGACATTAATATTGCATTAAATGCATCTAATTTTGACATCCTTTTTACTGAAAATTATTTTTCAAACCACAACATAGACAGTTTTTCCAAAAAGCTGGACATTTGTCTTGGCCCATCTTCTCAATAAAATAATAATAATAAGTTTGATATAACTTTATTTTATTAATCAATTTTCGGTATAGCTTCGGTTTCCATGTATTATTGTTTTCTGGATTTATTTGAACGGCTACATTTTGACCTATTTGTCATAAAAATATTTAGATTTTTCTTTTCTTATCATTAGATTTTCTGGAATGTTGTTAATTCTTACAGGAACCATTTGTTCTGATGTACTTGGCAAAAAGGTCCTAGTTCTTCTAGACAAGAACTTTTGTGCTGGGCTGCAATGATCTTCATTATTGGAAAAATTTCTCTGGTGTAACAGTAAGATCCAAAAGTCCTCACCTGTTTCATAACATTTGAGAATGAGCTTCTTTGCCGACTTTAACGTTGCTTCAGCAGTTCCATTTGACGATCCTTGAAGTTCTATTTGTTTTTGAATACTTTGGAGAATTTCACATTGTTTTTCCATACGTGTGCTAATTCTGAAGAAGCCATATTGTTTCATAACTTTCACTTTTGTCAAAGATAAAACTTATCCTCAATAAAGTCTCATTATTTAAAGAATTCTGACACCATCTTCTCAATAAAATAATAAGTTTGATATAACTTTATTTTACTTAACATTTTAAAGAATATATTCACACGACATTATTCCAAATCTCTAACACGAATGCCAGAAAAGAGCCATAAACAAAAGGTTAATCTGATACCATAGACATTTATTTATTAAAGACACAGAACTGCCCGTAAATTCATTGGCACTTCACGCACTTAAATGTGTCTTTACTCTTAACCTGATTTATCTTAAGTTTTGTATGATCACACTTCATGTCAGCAATAGTTGGCTTTCTCGTCGATGGGTAAACTCGTGATCAAGCGAGCTACCTCAAGCTCCATCATTAGTGGTGCGCGGAATCAATCTTTTGACGGAACAAGGATTTGTAAATCTTTTCATACTGAGGATATATATCACTCCTATAAATCTTCAACTCCCAAATACATCCGTAGCAGAAACAGTCAATAACTCTATACATCACTCTGATCGAGATTGAATTTTATGGTACTTAATCAACTTTGTTTTAAAAATGTTTTTTATATAGGTACATTCATTTTTCATAAACATTCAAATAATATTTAAATATGTATAAAAACTGAATACAAAAAAAATCATTGAGGTATAAGTAAGTATTTAATAAAACTTGCCACTGATTTTCCTTCATACTTTACTCACAGGCTTAGGACTGTCAACCTAGTGCTTATAGTTTGTGCTAGAAAGAAAACTAGGCAGGCGTATTTAAAAATCAGCGTATGTACATGATTTGAATTTACAAAAAAATTACAATCGTATTTACAAAATATTTACACTACTTGTTAGTGCTTATGAAGAGCAACTGCGACAATTTTTTTGATTTTAATTGGGTTCGACGATCGTTCATTGTATAACCCGCTTTTGAAAAAATTCGTTCACATGGAACTGATGTGGCAACTAGGTGCAAACGTCTTTGTATGTATTTGTACAGGAGTGGGTATACATGTCGTCTTTCACTCCACCACAGAAAGGGGTCCTTCGTACGGTGGAGAATCGGCTCAGCCAAGTACTTGTCGACTTCGACAATGCCGGCTGCAGTCGTGTTTGCCGGTCTAAGCTGAGCTACTTCCTTGTCGAACTCATCCCAGATTGAGCTACAAGTCGACGGTTGTTGTTCTTCCGGAACTTGAACCTCCGGTGGAGCCACTGTTGCGTTGCCGACTTTCTGCTTCAGAGCGACTAGGGCCCTTTCAAAACACTGCTCATTTCTAAAAGACTTTTTTTTGAAACGTGGGTCCAATATGGTCGCCTCTGTGTAGAGAGGATGGGACTCTACATGAGCAAGTCTTCTGTCGAGCTCTTGGTCTAGTTTAATCACCAACTCTCGAATTTCCATGATTGGTGAGGGTTCTCTTAGGTTTGCCTTTGAGTTAATAGAGATTAGTTTGCAGAGAGGTATAACTTTAGATAATGTCACGTTTTTTTCCGCGCTAATCTCTGTTGTTATGTCGGCAAACACTTTGAGAATGGGGATGGCATGCTCCATTAAACTCCAATCATTCTCGTCAAGCGCATGCTGTGGTGATAACAAAGCGAGGGTTGTTATTACTGCTGTTTTTATCTCGGTTAAGCGGGAAATCATATCGAAAGTAGAATTCCAGCGGGTGGAGACGTCTTGCTTCAACTTTAAAGGGGGCAATTCTAATTGCTTTTGCATTTCCCTCAACTTCGCTTGGGCGTGGGAGCTCCTTTTAAAATATTCTACAACAGCTTTTGCTTTAGCTATAGTCGGTGCAATTTGCTTAATAGCAGCTTGCACACACAGATTTACAGTGTGTGCAAAGCAGTGTATTTGCCGCCACTCTCCTTCCCTTACTGCTGCCGTTATATTTGCGGCGTTGTCTGTGGCAACAGCCGTAATTTTGTTCTGAATATCCCACTCTACAGCCATGTTTTTTAGAAATTGACAGAGGTTGGAACTAGTGTGCCGTGCATTATATTCAATACAGCCTAAAAGTACAGACTCCATTTTTAAAGTTCTTTGTTGATCTGACAGAAAGTGAGCCATAACTGCTATAAAGCTGTCATTATTTATCGATGTCCATCCATCAGTGGCCAAACATACAGCCTCTGCTTTTTCGATTTTTTTTTTGGTTGCCTCTAACACTTTTTCATATAATTTTGGCAGCAAGCTCTCACTTAATGTTTTTCGCGTTGGCAAAGTATAGCCGGGACACAGCATACCCACAAACTTTTTGAATTCTACGTCTTCAACTAATTTTAAGGGATGGTATTCGCGCGCAATCATTGTAATTAGTTGCTCGTCCAAGATTTCAGCGCGTCTTGCAGGTATAGGTTTATTAGACTGAATAAAGTCCGTTATCGAAGCAACCCGAGGCTGCACTGCTGACACTATTGTGGGTGTTGACGTGGTTTGTATTTCTAAGCACGGTGGAAGTGATGATGAGCTACAACCAGGCTGCGGCAGCGGCGGCGCAGACATTCCACTACACCCAGGAACTTCATTTTCAGCACTTGGTACAGGCTGCCTTTCTACAACCAGAGGTACGGTAGGATGCTTATTTTTCAAATGTCTGCCTAAATTACAAACATTGCCACTCGGCATGGTTAAAATCTGGGCACAGTACACACATTTTGCTTTTTTATTTTCACATTCCGTAAAATGTGACCACACTGCACTTCTTTTTCTAGGTGGAGGCATTTTCACAAACTTTTAGTACTATAGCAAGTACTTAGATAACACAATAATCGATAATATCAAAAAGTTTTTATTTACTGTCCTAACCTAACTTAAGCTTTTCACATACCTACTTTACAAAAGTCCACTTTAATATTTACATTACATATTTACAAATGTTTATATTCACTGCACGGAAATAAGTAAGTTATGGAACTACGAGTACGTACTTAGGTATAACTTTAAAACTAACAGTGTTCAGTTTAAAAGACGAACTTTAACAATCATTAATAAACAAAACACAAATCGCACAAACAGTCGAAAAAGTATAAACTTTCATTCACAGACTATGTAGAGTTCTAGCGCTTTCATTCTATCTAACAAATTTTTACTCAAGTTTAAAATATGTTCAAACGATTTCGCACTCTATTACTACTATGATAATGTGCCGTATTCCATGCAGATTTTTGTCGTCAAAGCTCGTCCTCGCTTGGACCTCCCCGCGCTCGCGCGCATGCGCGCCACGCGCGATCGTATCAATCATCTTCCATCTCTTTCAGTGGCAAGTTAACCGTATAGCTCTATCGTTTTACATCTTTTCTTTTAGTAAGTAATTCAGTAAGGAGTTGAAGAGTTGAAGATTTATTAGGCAAACTTAGGAATTAAAGAATCATTTACTTATTAGCGAGGATTTAATTCTTTTTGTCAAATCACTCAGGAGTTACACACGTCTATCCATCATATTTTAAAGTAACAATAACGTCACATTATCATGAAACTCGTTTTGCTCAATGACTAGTAAAAAATCATCAAATATCGTGCTCCAGAATTTCCCTTAGTTACTTAGGGGTTAATCAAAATCTTAAACTCGCTCGCTCGTTCGGGCTGTTGCCCGAGTACATTTAAAAGCAATAATGTTAACCCTTAAATGCATGATTTTTCCTTTTTAAATGCAATAAATTGAAACAGATAGATAAATTAAGGGAAAAATATAGAAATAATTGTTTTTTTCTATAATTATATTTTATAAACAAAACTTACTGATGTAGATTTACATCAGTATGCATTACAGTTACTATTAATAATGTAGCCTTAGAACACAAACCGTATAATAGAATAGTACGTACTATTCTATTATACGATTGTCTTCAAAATAGGAATATTTCACTGAATGAAAATCTTTGAAACAGTAATTTCTCTGATTTTGACACAACGGTACATTACATTTCGTCAGTGAAATTCTAACAGTGCGTAAGTCAAATAAACCTACTTTACAGGAGAGTAATAAAACTATATAAAATATCAGTTCGTAAATTTCTACGAGAAAATATTAGGGAAACATATATTAGATACAATAATTAATTAAATAAAAGAGGGACTATTAAGATATTTTCAATATTTAAGATTTTGTTGTGACTTACGCACTGTTGATTATACACAGCTTTGACTTACGCCATGATTTCTAGTCATTCAGGGTTGGTTAATATAAAAGTTCCATAGAGTTATTGTTATTAAATTTAATTTTGATAGTCTTATAAATCAAAGAAAATATAAAACTATAACTAAAGAATATTCTTGAACTACAATTTTTCATCAAAATCGCTATTAACTAAATTTAAGGTGTAACATCTCTCATACTTAAATTTCTTTTAAATCCTAGACATAAAAAATATTTAATAATAAAAGCTAAGTTCAATACCTTCCTATTCAACCTGGATTATTTTCCTTCAAAGAATTCAGACATAAAATTAGTAGAAACAATAATGTTTTTGAAAAGCCATTATAAATATTATTTTTAGTAAATTGTTGGAAGTTTTGGAATCTAAGTTTCAATACTAAGTAGGTAAATGATTAAGCATCAATCATCTTAATGAGGTAGAGAGTCGTAGAAACTGTGACAGTCAAAAGGAATGACTTTTTTTAACTCTTGCAAATGACGCCATTTGCTTTCAGGTATTTTTTGTGCACTTTGATAAAGCTTCGGTCTAGTAGGAATGTTTTTAGGTATGACTTTATTACGTCGAGTCCTGCTCTGAGGCATCTCCTGATATTCTTGATCAAAACTTAGTTTGTATTGTATAATTCCATTAGAGTTGTATTGTAGCACTCTTAAGTCTGTGACAGTAGGATCTTTGGTGGTTCGACCAGGTCGAACAGAGTCATAAATAAAGAGATCTTTTTTAGAGTTATCCTCAAAAAAGTCATAATTTAAGTACTCAACTGTATAAGGCTGTTTAGGCCTGGCTTCTTTCGAGAGTACGGCGTATTGAGATGGGAGAAATATTTCTTTATCTTTGGTTTTCTGCTCAATGGAACTGTGCACTGCGTCACACTCCATTTGAGTATGACCTTTTTCCAGGAACTTTTGAATTATTGTTATATTCTTCTCCATTACTAATTGTAACAGTGCGTTAGCAAGAAACACGTTCCTGTTTTGTGCAGTACAGCCATCAGAATAAAGAACTACAGGAACACATTTTTGCTCCAACGTTTTCTTGAGTATATCTATGATGCATGAAATAAACACGGAAGCGACTAGACCAGCATTAGTTTCGTCAAACCAATAGCAGTAAGCATTTTTAGTTGCCAGGTTATACATCGTGAAATTATGAATGCAGTTTGGTTTTGTAGTACAGAGCACTGGCCTTTAACTGAGGACACAACTTCACAGCTTGTAAATCATGTGTAAAAACATGTATGTCACCGAATTTTATAGATTTTTCTATATCATGAACTTTTTCGTTTCTGGCCATGTCTTTAGAGCGTATGTGAACATTATATTTCTCGTCTGTTAAATTGCCCGCTTTATGTGAACAACAGGTGTCACATCGATCTTTTTTCTCGAGTAAATAGGCTCAAGTTCAGCTCATCAAAAACTCTGTTTACGGTCCAGCGGCTGACAGGAGCTCTTTCAGCTTTTTCGCACTCTGCACCGTACAATTTGTAAAGTTTGGTCTTATCTTCGATAATTGGCTCTAAATACTGCTTTGAAGTGTTTGCTCTGCAATAATGAGAGGGCATCTTTGGTAAGGAAGCAAAAAACTCTTTAAGGAATGCCAGATCCTCTTTCTTAATAATGCGTTCTTGGTGTTCATTACTAGTGGAAGATTTAGCTATGCCGTGTTCCGAAGATGACATCCAGCATCTTACTGTAGACTCTTTCAAACCTAGGGTCCTTAGAAATGTCTGCATACACACTTGGATTCGTCCGATAGAAGTACTCAAAAAATATTGTTTGCTATCACTCCTCCTAGAATTTGTTTTATTGTTTATTAATTTGCTTTTTCTCGCAAGTCAAGACATTGGATACAACATACTGTTTTCTTTGCTCCCATGTCATATGTTTCCAGAACTTAGAAAAAATATTTTGCCTCTCATCATCATTCAGGCTGGAACATCCACGAACCTTAGATTTATTACAAAAAGTAGATGTGCACTTTGGACCCATTTCACGAGCTGGACGTTGTATGTCATGGAGTACTTTAAATTTCTCATTTCTTTTTACTTTTTTGTCCCTGCGATATCCTATGTACTCCTCTCCTTTCATTCGTTTATTTTTTGTTACAGACTTATCCCATTTATTAGGGTCCCCAAATCTCTTTAAACTTCTTTTTCTGTTTGAATTCAGATCACCATATTCATCATCGGATGAACGAGAAACAGTTTCTTGTTGCGGTTCTACAAAAGACCTAACATCAGATGTTTGATTTTGATACTGTTTTCCAGCAGAAGCAGTTTCTTGTGGCTGTTCTTCACATGAAGTAGAAGCGGTTTCTTGTGGCTGTTCTTCGCATGATATAAGAGCAATTTCTTGTGCCTGGTTTTCACAAGAAGCAGAAGCAGTTTCTTGTGACTGTTCTTCACATGAATTAGAAGCGGTTTCTTGTGGCTGTTCTGCACATGAAGTAGAAGCGGTTTCTTGTGGGTGTTCTTCGCATGAAATAGGAAGGGTTTCTTGTAGCTGTTTTTCACAAGAAGCAGAAGTTTGTTGTGGTTGTTCCTCGTATACAGGTAAAAAATCAGGTAATATTTGAACAGGTAAGTTTGCAATATTTATATTCTCCAAGTCTTGTGTTGTTATGTTTCTTGGTTTTTTATTTTTTGAAGGAACTTTAATGTTCAACTGTTTACATAAGTCTAAGATGACTTCATCATTCTCACTATCAGAACATGTAGTATCCATCATTTTACAATCCCTGAAAGGAAACAAAGTTTATATCAACACAACGTAAGTCATTTCAAAGAACACTGCGTAAGTCAAAGCAAAATTAATTAGTCAATTTTTTTTTGTAACTACAAAGTAATTTATAATTATTCAATGTGTTACAGCTTAAACATTATGTCAAAAAGCTAATTAGATAACATTTAGACGTAATAAACACAAATATTTACCTTTTTTGAAAATAAAACTGCCGGCTCTGTTTGTAGGTTAGGAACTTGTATGAAACTAACTGACTTACGCTGTGTTGATCCTATCGGCTGACATACGCAGTGTGAGCATTTTTGAAATATGCGACGCTATTGGTCATTGGCGTGGTTCTTAACTATCCAATGGCATCAAAATATTTAAAACCGCCAAAGATGACTTACGCACTGTTAGAACTTCACTGACGAATTACGAAACTCCCCAACATTAGGCAGTTGCTTTCTAAAAAGCTATTCATCAGATCGACTCCGCCCATATGCATATTGTACTCTTGAACAATTTTGGGGCAAGGTATGTCAATTTTTTGTTTAGTCTTCTTATCGTATCTTGATACTTTTCCAACAGGCTCGGCGCCAACGTAAGTAGATAATAGAGTGACTATTATCTACTTTATTAACTTTCCACGCAGTGGCCGAAAAGTCTACTCCATCTGAATGAGCAACACGTTCCTCATATGTACCTCTCGGGAAAGAAGTTTTCATAAGTTCCTTTTTGTCATGGAATTGACAATTCGGTAGCCTGTTTTGCTGAATAGTTCCGTCACATTGTTTATCCTGTTTATTCACATCGTTTACCAAAGGCAGGGATGTGTAAAAATTATCGAAGAATACAATCATCATCATCAGCCCTTTTACGTCCCCACTGCAGGGGCTGAGAACTTCCTTATGGATGGTTAAGGAGGATGGGCCATGACCCTCCACGCTGGCCCAATGCGGATTGGAGAGCAATATGATAAAGAATACAATATGATTGCTCATCATCGACGTTATTTGTTATTCCGGGATCAGGCTCATCGGCTGGTTTGTCTTTTTTTTATTCTTGTTTTTATTCATCGTACCCAAACTTGGAAAACCAATATGAGCTTACACTAGGGAAATGCTCCACTGACATAAATAAAAAAAATCTTTTTCCGCTATGAATGAATACTAATAGTGAAAGATATTGAAGGGTTTTTTTGTACTGCATATAAGTTGGTTGGTTTCATCAACAATTTTTTGAAGAAATGCGGATGTGAAGTAGTGCAAAAAACATTATAAGGTGTATCAAGTTCAGTTATAGCAGAGTCTGTTGTGCTTGGTTTGTGAATTATTTTCGACATTAATGATCATGACCTTCTTGTATGGATAATGAAATAATAATTTCACTTGAGCCAGGCAGATCTTGAACCAGTGGTGGACCGCTGTAGGTAGGATCTTCATGCTCCTTTGCATCCTCGTCCCCCAACTCTCGAATTATTTCTCTTGCATTAGCAAAAATAGGTTCTTCAGCTTCACTTTCATCTTCCAATCCATCCTCAGAAATATTTCCATCTTCTAAAGCCGCTAGAAGGTGTTCTATGCTCTATCTGTCAATTTACGGGCCATTCTGGAAAAAAAAGAAAGGAGTAAATAAATTACGTATATTTAGTAAAACTATTGTGGCGGTTAAGCCAATTAAATAGACTATATCAGATACGATAACTTATTTAATTACGTACAAGAGGGTAGGTCCCCAAAATAGTTTTATAAAAATTAAATTTAAAGAAATATTGAAAATTTAGGGTGTGGGTCCGTGACATTAAGCAACCGTCTCGTAGCAGATTCTTGGTCACCACTGTCCTGGCAATCCAAATAATATCGCACGTTGCAGATCTCCGGTCACTGGTCCCAGTAATACAGACACGACTGGTGTAGAAGTAAAGGTTTCCCGAATAACGTGTGTAGCACAATCCAGACCTTTCTTTACCCTGCCAGAGGATAGGTCCCCAATATGGGGAATAAACACATAAACTATATTTGTAGATGACTAAATCAAAAATTCACAATCAAGGAGACAGTAATTAGTGAGAAATAATGTAAGTGACGACAATATGTCCTGTCGCTGCGGTCGTATCTCAATTGTGCCACCCGCGTTTTGTTGGAGAACCGGTTTCCCGCTTCGGTCGGCAATGCGCAAGCGCATGAACAATAGACTTACTGAGTATACAACAGTTTTGCCCAGACTGTGCCTATTGAATTTATTATTTTTCTTTATAATATTTTGCTTGTTTTAATTTTAGTTTTAAGTTGTAATTATGTTATTGTATGCAGATTCAATTAAGTTTGAGAGTATTGTAAATATATATTTTTATATTTTGATTATTTTTAAATTGTTTTACAATATTATTCTTTTTTTTTAATTCTTGGATTAAGATAGACAGATAGTAAAATCGTCACATACCCCCCTTTTTAGGTTATGATTTTACTTATAAAATCACTATGACTCACTCATAGTTACTTATTTTAAGATTTATCTTAACTTAAAATCTTTTATGTGCCATGTTCCCAACCTATTTCCTGACATATCTTCGAGATCATATACTAACTTAGATTTTTTTTCTCTTATGCGACACTTCATGAATTTGGGTGCTAATTTTTTTGAAAATTTATTATCTTTGTCGCTATGATAGAAAGTGCGCTTCCAAACGATATCCCCAACATTGAATTCTGCATTTTTCCTTCTAAGGTTATAGGTACAACTGTTTCTCGAATGTGCTTTAATAAGTGAAACTTGTACCTTATCGAAAATTTTACGTAGGTAACCAAGATTTTCTGCATAAACATCTCGAGGAGAAAAAACTATATGATCCTCGATATCTGCATCAATATAATGTGAACCACAAGAAATAAGTTCCCGTCCAAATACTAAAAACGCTGGTGTATATCCAGTAACTTCATTAACTGCGCTGTTTAATGCGAATTGGATTTTTGGAATATATGTATCCCATGATCTGTGATCATTCTCAATAAATGTAGCTACAGCAGTGATTATAGTTTTGTTGTAGCGCTCCACCGTGTTTATTTGTGGTGTATATAAAGGTGTATAGAAAACGTTTGGAATATTATAGGTAGTGAACAATCCTTTCATGGTATTGCTAATAAATTGTCTACCATTGTCCATTAGTAATGTACTAGGTACACCATACACAAGAAAAACTTGTTCTTCTAATATTTTAACTATTATATCTGCTGTAGCGCGTCGAATAGGAAAAATCAGACAATATTTAGAAAAACAGCATGTTATTACTAGCAAAAAGGAGTTTTGTTTCCTTGTTATAGGCAAGGGTCCAACCAAATCTATACTTAACATCTGAAACGGACGACAACATTCTTTTGGTCTACCCATTATTCCCAAAGACGAGTGGTTAGGGTATTTATACGACATACATTTATCACAGTTTGTCACGAATTTAGACACGTCTCGATGCATGTTAGGCCAAAAGTATTTCAGTGATAGTCGTTTGTATGTTTTAACACGTTCGCGCGCTGTAATGCATGACAAATTTTGGCATTTTGACACACGTTTTTTCCATACTAAGTCCATAGGCGTACTTGCGTAGGTCCGCTTACCAATACCATACCAAATGACAGAACGTCTTCAGGCGTCGCACGTCCTAGGGCGTTCTGGCAGATTTCTTTCTATCATGTAGGTGTTCTGCCCCTTAACGTTTTGAGGCGTTCAATAATAAAACATATATTTTTTGTACTAAAATGTTTAATTAATCTTAAGAATAAGGTATCAATATTTGAAACTATAACTAGGTAAGGCACTTTTACTTATAATAAATCAACTTACAAAACAAAACAATCTTAGGAGGGTGAGATCAATTATATGTTGAACTATAATTAGCGACTAAACATTTACTTACAATAAATCAACTTTCTTATAACAAAACAATCTTAGGAGTGTGAGATCAATAATAATGTTAATTAATAATTAGGTAGGTACGAAACTTTTACTCATAATAAATCAACTTTCATAATAAAAAATTAGTAAACAAAATGACCTTAGAAATTACTGGTAATTATAAATTAATTTCGTTATGCCAGGCCTCGAAGCAAGATGGACAAAGTGGAGGTTTTTGTGGACATCCTTTGCAACGGTAACTAGTTTCTACGCGTTTTCCATCTTTGGAACAAACACGGCATTTTAAAAAAGCATATTTTTTCTTGCTGCCAGGATTAGATTCAATTCGTTCAGGCCAGTGGCCCTTCATTCTATCTAAAGAACTCTCATTACGCTCAATTGCTGGTATATTATTGTGTAGCCTGTTGTAATGCATACTTTTCTTGTTGACCAAGTCCTTTACATTTATATTAGTATCGAGTTTTATCAAGTCTTTTATCAATTCCTCTCTAAACATAATAAATTCATAACTTTTGTCATTATTTTTTTTGTATTTTTTGTACAAAAAATATGCATTCCACACTGATATGTCTAAAAGATGAAATAATACTTTTTTATACCAACGAATTGTTTTTCTAGGGCTTGAATAATAAGAGACCATTTGGTCTAAGCGATCAATTCCTGACATATGATTATTATAAGTCGCCACCTCAAGAGGCTTCATCTTCTTTCTCCCAAATCTGTTTTGTACTTCAACCATTGTAGGATGAGTGTTTGTAGAAATCATCAGGACAGGGCGACTATCCCTCCATTTAGATACGTAAACATTGTTCTTTCGGACCCAAACGTGTTCACCTTTCTTTAATTTTTTCTTTACAATACTGTCAGGATTACCTTTCCTATTTGACCGCAACGTTCCAACAGTGTGAGTTCTCAAACCGAGTAATTTCTTGCACAAGCTAACAGAGTTATAAAAGTTGTCCATATATAAATGGTGTCCCTTCAAAAGGTAAGGTCGCATTAGCCTCAAAACTAGGTCTTCAGTCTTTGAAATGTTTTCTTCTAGATTTTCTTTACCACAATACATGTAAATATTCAAGACATATCCATCCGACGTTGTGAGCTCATAGAACTTGATACCGTAACGAGCCTTTTTAGATTTAATATATTGACGAAATTGCAATCGCCCTCGGAATAGAAGTAAAGATTCGTCTAAAGAAAGATTTTTACCAGCATTGTAAATCTTTTGAAAATGTGCTGTAGCTGTGTCAATAAACGGAGTTATTTTTTTTGATCCCTTAGCATCAACTTCAGAAGCGTAAAGACAACGCAATAATTGCTCATGTCTTCTAGCAGACATAACATATGTAAAAATTGGGTGATAATACAAATGATTTGTGTAGGTAAACAGGTTACGTTGTTTAGGGCAT